TGGCTAACCTTGAGAAGAGTGGGAATCCTAGAACACCTGATTGTCCTCATGCGAAATACAGACTTGGAGTAGGAGGCAGTCAGAACAGAGCAAAGAAACGGTCAGGAAAATAGTGTGCCAGAGATCCATTCTGTTTCCATACCTTTTCAGTCTGTATGCAGAACAGATTATTTGAGAGGCTGGACTTTGCGAGGAGGAGTATGGCCTCAGGGTTGGAAGAAAACACATCAGTAACCAGTATTATGCAGATAACACAGCCTTCCTTGCTGAAACTGAGGAGGGCTTAAAGCATTTGCTGCAGAAAGTCGAAGACTGTAGTCTATAGTTACAGACTTATCTAAAAGTATGAGTCACAGGAGTAAGTTCAGTTCAAGACTTTAGGATATGTTCAACTTTTTAAGAAACTGCCAAACAGGTTTCTGAAGTAACTACAATATTTAACATTTTCACTGACAGGGTTTCAAGATATCTGTTTCCTTACTTCCTGCCTAACAGTTAAAATCTTGAATGATGTAAAAAGCATAAAATGAAAAGGTGGAAAGAATATACTGTGGCAGTGTATAAAGTCACTGTACCAAAAAGAACTGGCTGACAGGGAGCCATTTCAGGAAGAAGCAATTTTATCAAGAATTGGTTGGTAATGAAGGAAGAAGTTCAAGCTGCACTGAAGGTATTGGAAAAAAAAATTGCCCCAGGAATTGATGGAATACCAGTTGCATGCTTCAACAAACAGATGTATCCCTGGATGACGCTAGTCTGTGACAAGAACTGATTGGAAGAGATCCATATTTGTTACAATTCTCAAAAAGAGTGATCTAGTAGAATATGGACATTATCAAACCTAAAAATATAAAACCTAAAAATCAAACTCATTGTCATTGAGTCAATTCTGACTTCTTTACCTGTGTGGAACATAGCAAACTGGCTGACTCTGAGAAGAATGGGAATCCCCGAACACTTGATTGTGCTTATGTAGAACCTGTGCTTGGACTAGGAGGCAGTCATCAGAACAGAGCAAGGAAACACTGCATGGTTTAAAATTGGGAAGGGTGTGTGCCAGGGATGTGTCCTGTTATCATACATTTTCAATCTAAATGCAGAACAGATTATCTGGGAAGCTGGGCTCTATGAGGAGAAATGTGGCATCAGGATTGGAGGAAGACTCATCAACAGTCTGCATTTTGCTGATGGCACAACCTTGCTGAAACAGAGGATATGAAGTGCTTGTTGCAGAAGGTCAAGGACTGCAGTGCAACGTCAAGAAAACAAAGATTCTCAACAATGAGCCTGTTGGCAGCATCATGATAGATGGTGATGAGTTGAGATTGTTAACAGCTTTAGTTTATTTGGCCCACAATCAGCCCCCTTTGTATCAGCAGCCAGGAAACTAAAAGACAAATTTCATTGAGAAAGTCTGCTGTCAGAGATCTCCAAAGTACTGAAGAACAACGATGTCAGTCAGGAGACTAAGGTGTGCTTGATGCAGGCTGTAGTCTCTGCAATTACTTGGTATGCATCAGAAAGCTGGACAATGACTAGGATGATTGGAGAATTGATGCCTTTGAGCTGTGGTGCTGGAGAAAAGTGTTGAATATACTATGGTCTGCTAGGAGAACAAACAGTTTCATCCTAGAGAGAGTGAGATCAGGCTGTTCCTTGGAGGTGAGGGTTCTGAAGCTTCATCTAGCATACTTTGGACATATTGCAAGGCAGGACCAGTCCTTGGAGAGGGACATCATGTTTGGGAAGGTGAAGGGACAGTGCAAGAGAAGGACCCTCGATGAGATGTATTGATTCATTGACTAGGGTAAGGGGCATGTATGTGCCAGAGAAAATAAGATTGGCATAGGATAGAGCAGGGTTTAAGGTTGTTGTATGTAGGGTCACTATGAGCCTCAGAGGACTCGATGGCATGTAACAATAAAAACAACAGTGATCCCATAGAATAGAGTATAACTGTTCAGTAGGGTTCCAGAGCCGTAAATCTTTACAGAAGCAGACCACCACACCTTTCTCCTGTGGAGTGGGTCTTGGGTTCAAGTTGCCAGTTTTCTGTTGGCAGCCAGGTTCTTTAACCGCTGTACCAGCAGGGCTGCTGATAATACCTTGGTAATTGAAGAGAAACAAATGAGGCTGTCTGTTTGGTTTTATTTATGTTGATAATTATATCTAGTGGCTGCAGCAATGAGATCAATTACATCAAAGATGATAAGGATGGCTTAGGGTTCAGCTCTAGTGTTCCTGGGGACACTGTGAGTCATACTTAACTCCATGCCACTTGACAACAACAATATCATGTTATTGGAATACAATTCAATGTCATGTCAACTGGAACCACAGTAGACCAGTAAGGGAGCTCTGGTGGCTAGTCTGTAGAGCATCTTCATTGGTTCAAAGCTACCAGTGACTCCAAGGGAGAAAGATGAGCAGTCTCCTCCTGTTGTGATTTACAGTCCCAGAAACTGATGACAGTGAGAGAAAGAGTGAGCCAGCAACTTCCAGATGACTGGGCCCAAAAGATAATCAACTTATGTGAATTCATCACTGTAATGATGAATATGGTATCTCTGCAATGGACAAGGTTCTGATATCTTTCACTATTTTGCTTCAGATACCAAAATTAAAAATTATAACTATTGAGCATGAGAGAGTATGCTTTACTGTAGACCTTGGTTGCATTATGAGTATTGTGAGGTGAAAGTTCATGGTGGTTCAAGAGTTAGCATGCTTCTCAAAAAATTACAACATTGTGTATATTCACTGTAGTAAGAAGGAATTAATCAAAAAACTGTGATATTATGAAAAAAATAGATAAATAGAATTAGGTAAAGGAAGTTCTATTTGGAAAACTTTGCTATTTGTTTTTATACCATGGTTGATCACAGAATTTTAAGATGTTTAAAAATACTAACTTGTGGGGAGCTCTGGTGACCTAGTGGTAAGGAGCTGCAACTACAATCCCAGAGGCTCATGGTTTGAATCCACCAGGTGCTCTGCCGGGGAAGGAGGGACAATCTCCTCCTGTACCAGTCAGATCTGATTTGACGGTACACTCACACAAAAACAATAAAACTAAAAAATAAAAATACTAACTTGTGACCATATAATGGTCATACCTGATAACTTAATCTGTAAACTGTAGCTCCTAGATAAAGCAGTTGGCCACCTGTTCAAAATTTTCATGATAAGAGAGTGAGATTAATAGCTGCACTCTGAGTTCACAACATCAGGATGACTAGCAGATGACATTTACAGAAATCTGCAAGTGGGTGGCTTCTGCTTGAGGAAAACAATTACAGAAACCATCTGAAGTAGCTGGGGTTGTGTACCAGCAGAATACTCATGATGACCCTGAAGTTGCCAAAGACAGAATGATGACATCAGTTCAGAAGTCATAGAAGATCATATTGAAGCCACTCTGAAATAATTCAGTGATGAGAATGATAAGCGATCAGACTTTGAAGGTTTCTGGAGTTGGACTGTGATTACTTAAGATGAAAATAATTTTTTCTGGTGTCTTTTTTAATTTCAGGTACATTAAAATTATGTTTAAGTTTAAAACTTAATGAAAACATTAAAATATGTGGGGGTTTTTTCCCCCCTTAAAGTTTTAGGCCTAGGATACTTTTTACTTACTAATTTCTAGCTCTTCGTCCATTATACTGTTTGTGTGTTTTAAAATTAATTTTCAATTTTATTAAGGTTAATGCAATACCATTCAAGGATTCTAAATTAGTAAGTGACATGATAGCTTTGTTGTTTTATTGAAAGAGTAAATAGTAGAGAGGCTCCAGCTATATAACTTTGGAGATCATTCCTGCAAGGCTTGGATCATGCACATATTAGTTTTTAAACTGGCATCTTTACCCTTTAGCACTTTGATGAGGTCCTTGACAGCATATTCTCCTAAGGCAACACATCTTTGGATTTCTTCCCCCCGCCCTTATAATTACGATTTTAACAAAAGTTTACAGAAAAGTTGGATTTTCATTGCACATTTTCCTCCCTACATCCTCCTCACTTCATTAAAAAAATGCGTTCATTGTTAATATAACATACTGTTTGGTTTCAACTTGACATCCCATTTCCATCATGAGACTGTTCAGTTCACTATTGGTTACACTTAATTGGGGACAATATCTAACTTGAATGAGATTTTCATGATACCAGTTTTATCTTGTAACATTAAATCTATTGGGGAAAAAAATCTATTGGACAGGAGAAAAATGAAATTGAAGTTAGTCATCAAGATGTAAAAAGATATTATATAAAGCACCTAGGAAAATAATAAAAGTTTTGAAGTATACAAATCATAATACACATTTTGCACAAAATATTCTTTTGTAAATAAAATACACATGTAGAAATAAGTACAAAGTGAAGAAGGAAACAGTTATCTTGAACATGGTGCTGAATACAAGCTTTCCTCCTCTGAGGTTTACAATAAGTGAGCTTGGAGTATATACTTGCGTAACTGTTTCTTCATAGTTGAGAAAAAACTCACTGCTATTGAATCAAAACCAACTCAGCCGACTGACTCTGCAGTAGGTTTTCAGAAGTTGTAAATCACATGAGAAGAGCTTGCCTTGGACCAGCTGATGAATTTGCTCTGCCTGCTTTTGGGTTGGTAAATTAACACCTTACCACTAGGCCACGTACAGTTTAGAATATTAGTTAATTGTGAGGAGAATGTGAAGTGATTAAGAAGTTTAAGACACTTTAAAAGAATACAAAACGTGACTTTTCATTGAAGCTAATCATAGTTTTGGGTTTTTTTTTTATTCCTGTGTTTCTAACTTATGCATTTGGATTAGGAGGCAGTGTTTCAGAGCTGTATCATGATCTTTCTGCAGACTTCTATCTTCTCGGTATCTTACGTCTTTCGAAGTCTGAATTCTTATCTCACGGAGGGCAAAAGAGAGAATGAGTAGTATTTCATCATTCACTACTTATATTCATTATGCAGCCCTGCAGTTGAAGGCCTTTGTGCATGAAGACAGATTTGTTCTATGGCCTCGGAGTTGGATGCCGGGGACGATGGCAGCTGCACTGAGCTGGCAAAGCCCCTCTATCTTCAGTACCTGGAGAAGGCCCTCCGGTTGGACCATTTCTTGCGACAGACAACAGCCATCTTCAACAGGAATATTTCTAGGTATACTGTTCCATCTTTTAATTCTTCCCAGCATAGCATTTTATTTCTGAAGTCCTGTCATCCTTCTAGATTTTAAGGTATTTTCTAGTCTGAGATATGTTTAATACTTTCTTTTTCCTACTTTTAAATAAAATAGTCTTTTTCAAAGGATCAGTTTCTTTTCTATAATGCTTATTTCTGTTAACCATGGATTTTACAGTTTTGCTGCTTCATATGTGATTGTGAACTCAACATTATTCATTTTATAGTGATGACAGTGAAGATGGACTGGATGACAGTAATCCTTTACTGCCCCAGTCTGGGGATCCCTTAATACAAGTTAAGGAAGAACCTCCAAATTCATTGCTTGGTGAAACTTCCGGAGCAAGCAGCTCTGGAATGCTAAATACTTACTCACTGAATGGAGTCCTCCAGTCAGGTCAGTGTGGTGGTGTGAGATCCCTCTTTGAGCAGTTCCTTCTCTTGGGTAATTATCGTTCATTATTGTATTCTTTCTGTTTCTTTATACAGAATCAAGATCTGACAAAGGGAATTTATATAACTTCTCTAAGCTGAAGAAAAGTAGAAAATGGTTAAAGGTAAGCAATAAGGCAAAATATTTATAGTCCAAATAAACCCAACCCAACCCACTGACCTTCATTGAGTTTCTGAAGCTGTAAATCTTTATAAGAGGTGATGGTTTCATTTTGTTCTTCAGAGTAGCTAGGTATTTGAATTATCAATCATTCAGTTAGTAGCCTAACAGTAATATCTAAGTACCTATGAAAATTTCTAATATAAGAGTTATTGATTCATTTTGGCTGGTTGGTTGAGATTTTCCTAGAAATGAATCTTGTTCTAGACATTGTTTTCTAAAGAGATTATAGAGAAAATCTAGATAATTCAATACAGTCATTTTAGCAAACATTTTTAATAACACAGAATTATAAAAGGTAAGATAGTGATAAGGGGAAAAAATTGATGTGTCCTGTGTGGCCGACATTTCATTAGGAAAATACATCTACTTTTTCATCAGTTCCTGAGGTTTGGCTGTTTGGTTTTTGGTTTGTTTTTTTTTTTGTTTACCTTGAGTCAGATCCGACTGGCACAGGAGGAGATTGTCTCCTTCTCCAGCTGATCATCTGATGGATTTGAACTGCACGCCTTTGGGATTGCAGTGCAGCTTCTTGTCGCTAGGCCACCAGAACTTCTGAGTATTTCTTTTATTCAACAGCTGTTTACTGAGGACATCCTACTGTTCAAGTACTATAGTAGGTATTAGGGATATATCACCGAACAGATAAAGAAGCTTTCTGTCCTGTTACACTTATAGTCTAATTAAACGAGACAGTCATTATATCTGTATACAGATGAATATGGATGACTTCTTTAATGAAGTCACATTTCAGCTGATTTCTAAATGATCAGAGAAAGCCCCAGGTCTCAATCAAAAGAACAACTACAAAAGTCCTGAAAAAGGAAGTACAACTAACAAGTGTGAGCAAGAAAACAGTGTGATATGGCTTGAGTGTGGTGAATGAACGGAATGGTAGACAGTCAGGTAGAGAGCCTGATTGTGGAGGGCCTTGATGGTAGACAAATCAGGTAGAGAGCCTGTTTGTGGAGGGGCTTGGATAGCATGTGAAGAAATTTAGATTTTGTACTTTTGTTAAAGTAGTAAGCCATAGCAATGTTTATAAGCAGGGAATAGTTATCTCTCTACTTCAAAAAGATTATGATCTGAACCAACTGAATCAAGCATAGTATTTCTTGTAGTAAAACAGATTGTTTCATTAGTTTATACCTTTCTTGTGAATAGCTCAGAGTAATTTACAGATACTTTTTCATTAATACTTCTAGACTAAGGTATAATGTGCTTTTTATCTGATTTTAGGCTGTTGAGAATGTAGAAGTCTATGCATACCAATTACATTGTAAAATCGAGATAGTATTAACAAGTCTTTAAACTGTACAATTAATTGATTTTAAATATATCCACAAAGTTGTATAATCATCTTCATTGTCTGATTTCAGACCATTTTATCACCTGGGGGAAAAAGCACTACAATAAACCAAAACCTTTACTCTTCACCAGTCACTCTCTCTTGGTTCCTCTCCCTGGCCAGTAATCTGCTTTCTGTCTCCATGGAGTGGCTTGTTCTAAGTATTTCATATAAATGTTATTATATAATATGTGTCCTTTTTGTGTCTACTTTCTTTCATTTAATGTAATGTTTTCAAAGTTTCACTGCTGTTCAGAAACACTATTTATCTTTTTTTTTGGTGGCTTAATATTTGATTGTATGCACTTTCTTTATTAATTCATTAATTGAAGAATATTCCTTTTGTTTCTGCTTTTAGCCATCATGTTTTCTGTATTCCTTTATATCTTTTTTTTATAAAATATGTTTTTATTACTGTAAGTAACTATAGGGGTGTTTTTCTAAAAAAATAAAAGTTTATGCTGACATATTGAAATTTTTTTTTTTAAATTTTTATTATTTGTGTGTGTGTACCATCAGATCAGATTTGACTGGTACAGGAGGAGATGGTTCCTCCTTCTCCAGGAAAGCATCTGGTGGATTTGAACCGCACACCCCTGGGATTGCAGTGCAGCTTCTTGCCACTAGGCCACCAGAGATCGCCTGAAAAATATTTTATAGACACTCATTTGTGTGTTATTTTCTCTGGTCATGTCACTTCATGTAGCCACAACCCCATAGACATCTGCATCCTCCTAGTAATGTAATTGCTTTACTTCTGTGATTTCCCCCCACCCCACTCCCACTATACCTCCTTGTTGCTTTTGCAAAATAAAGTAGTAAAAGCACTGCTACATTCTATTCTGCTCTGTCAAATTTTAGGGACATTTGAAATGCTCAAGGTACATTACTTTGTTTTCAATTATAAAAATCTTTTTGCTGTTGAGTTAGTTCTCACCAGAGGTGATACATCTTTCCTGGAACAGATTGTCACATCTCGCACATAACCCATATTTCGCCATATGACCCAGAGGCTGGAACTGCCAACTTTTTGATCAGCACCTAATTCTTGTTTTGTGTGTTTTTTGTTGTTGTTGTTGTTTTAAATAATGTTAACGAATATTTACAGAGATTTTGGATTTCCATTCATTCTTTGCTGCACTTCTCTCCCTGCCCAGCCCTCCCCCTCCCCCCACTTCGCTCCTTTCTTTGCAAAGTAAAAGAAAAACTCCCTCCCTGGTACACAATCCCCCCGCACCCCTCTCACTGCCCCAAGTACACTCCACTATGCAACCTTAATTGTGGACTCTTGTGATAACCATAATACCCTATCATATATCGCTTTTAAATTATTTACTCCATCTGTTTCGGTGCAGTATATGCAATTTATCCAGTTTTTCTCAGTCTTACCCCAACCCTGATATCAGTCCCATTTTATGGCACCATGCAGTATTTGTCCTTTTGCGACTGAGATATTTCACGTGGCATAATGTCCTCCAGGCTCACCCATTTTGAATAACATTGCATGAGGTCCTTGTTTTTCAATGCAGCATAGTATTCCATTGTGTGACTATACCACAGCTTCTCTATCCATTCGTTTGTTGATGGGCACCTGGGTTGTTTCCAATTTCTTGCTATTGTGAACAAAGCCACAATAAACATGATTGTACATATATCTGCTTGGATGTCAGTTATGGTCTCTTTGGGATATATTCCCAGTAGTGGAATTGCTGGGTGAAATGTTATCTCTATTTGCAACTTTTTGAGAAAGCGCCACACCACTTTCCACAGTGGTTACACCATTTTACACTTCCACCAACAGTGAATAAGTGTTCCAGTTTCTCCACTACCTCGTCAGCGTTTATTACTTGCTGTTCTGTTAAATTTTGCTATTCTGACTGGGATGAGATGATAGAGTTGTTTTGATTTGCATCTCTCTTAGAGCTAGGGATTTTGAACATTTCTTCATGTGCTTGTTGGCCACCTGAATGTCTTCTTTGGTGAAGTGTCTGTTCATATCCTGTGCCCATTTTTCAATTGGATTATTTACCTTTATCTTGTGGTGCTCAAGTATTTTATAAATTCTAGATATAAGTCCCTTATCTGATATGTCATTACCAAATACTTTTTCCCAGTCTGTGGCTTCCCTTTTTACTCTGTTGGAGACGTTTTTGGATATGCATAGGGATTTGATTCTTAGAAGGTCCTTTTTATCTATTTTATCTTCTCCTGGTTGTAGATTTCTTTATATCTTGTTGGTGATTTCTTTTGTTGTTATTATTTTTTGTTAGTTGAGATTCATTAGACTGTATGCATAATTTAAGTATTTAATACCTCCTTCTGGTGGCATAGCACATTACATCTTACACTGGTCACAGAAAGACTAGCAGTTATTCTCAGTTATTCCTTGAGATAAAGACAGTCTTCTCCTCCAGTAAAGATTTACAGGCTTTGAAACCTTATGGAGGGTTATGAGTCAGAATAGCTTAACTGCAGTGATTGAGTTACATGCCCTCCAGCCTTGTTGGTTTTGACAGCATTGTTGTTTTTGTTGCTGCTGTTACTGTAGGGTTGGAACTAATTAATAGCTGGTTTTCAGAAGCAGTAAATTGCATGAGAGTTTATTACCCATCTTTCTCCTGTCGAGAAGCTGGTGGATTCAAACTGTTTACCTTAGTGCTTACAGTGTGGTTCCTTACCAGTAAGATACCAGAGCTCCAGACAGCATCGCTCCTGTTTCAGTGCTCTATAATTTATGCCTAACAATTTCCATGGAATTTATTCCACTTTATAGGGATAGACTGAATTGATGTTCATTTATTTTTCTATTGAATGGATATATAATTATTAGAGAAATTTGAATGAGTATGTTTTTGTCATTGCTTGGGGATGTGCAATATGTTTGGTCTTTGAACAGGAATGGTTTCTTAATGGAAGTTACATTTCCATTTCTTTCCTGTTAGAGCATTCTGCTAAGTGATGAGTCCAGTGAGGCAGATTCTCAGAGTGAAGACAATGAGGAGGAGGAGGAGGAGGAAGAAGAGGAAGAAGAACTCAATCTCAGCCGAGAAGAACTTCACAATATGCTGCGACTACACAAATACAAGAAGCTTCACCAGAATAAGTATAGTAAAGACAAGGAGGTGAGAGTTTCAGGAGAAGCCTCAGACCTTCATGCTGGCTATTCATAACTTCTGGTTTATATTTATTCAAGATATGTCATTTTAACCATATAGTTAAATGGTATGGTTGTTCTAATGACAGTTTATTAAGATTTAATTCACATGCCAAAGAAGTCAGCCTCTTCAAATGCACAATCCAGTGCTTTTCCATATATTCATAATTGTACAACTATCATCACGAATCTCAGAATATTTTTATCACCCCAGAAAGAAACCCTGCACTCCTAAGTGATTATTACACCTTCTTTCCTTTCTTCACACCCATCAGTCCACTCTAATTGTAGAAATGTTTCCATTCTAGCTATTTCATACATATGGATTCATAGAACCTGTAGTCTTTTATTGTATGATTTCTTCTACTTAACATAGTGTTTTTAAGATTCATCCTTGTAAAGTACTTACTGCTTTTTATTACTGAATAATAAATAGTATTTAATTTTATACATTTTGTCCATCAATTGATGAAACTATATTTCTACTTTTTTACTGTTATTAATAATGCTGCTGTGAAAATGTACAAGTTTTTTGTTTGGATATATATTGTTTTTCATACACTCTGTGTGGATTTTCTGGACCATATGCTAACTGTTTAACTTTTGAATAACAAATTTGTTCTTCAAAGCAACTTTGGTTGTTTCTAAATTGTTTTTTGAAAGTATTTGTACATGTTGTTGTTATGTGCCATCAAGTCACTTGAGACTCATAGCCACCCTGTGTACAACAGCCCTAAACCCTGCTCTATCCTATGCCAATTTCATTTTCTCTGACAAACTTATCTCCATTACCCCAGTCACGAATCAGAGAGGGTCTTCCTCTCCTGCGCTGTCCTTCCACCCTTCCAAGCATGATGTCCTTCTCCAAGGAATGGTCTCTTCTTGAAACATGTCCAAAATCTGTCAGATGAAGCTTCAGAATCTTTGCCTCCAAGGAGCAGCCTGTTTAACCCTTTCTAGAATGAACCTCTTCGTTTTCTTAGCAGTCCATGATATATTCAGTACTCTTCTCTAACACCGTAGTTCAAAGGCATCAATTCTCCTTCTGTCCTCTAGTCATTGCCCAACTCTCTGATGCATAGCAAGTGATTGCAAAGACCATGGCCTCTAACAATTTGTACATAATTATCAGAATATAATTGAAGACCTAAACTTTCCAGCTATTTACTAAAGTTCATTCAGAGAGCTTTGAATAATATGGTGAAGCTTACAAACCCAGGGGTCGGGGTGGGGGAATAAGGTAATTGACCAACTTTATTCAAACTTAAAGCATTCTTTAAAATACAGTTTTAGGAAACTTAGTGTTTGAAATATTTACTCATTTTTTTTAAAGTAAGGTAAAAAATACATTTGGAAAGGTCCATAAACTTTAAACACATAGTTCCATGAAGGTGCATTTAATTTTGCCATGGGTGTAAAACTTGATACAAGATCTCTGTTATTCTGTATCCTGGTTTCACCTCCTAAACAACTAATTGGGTTAAACCCAGGAAAAAAGATCAACAATGAACTATATAATTTTAATGACAAATCCCCTTTAATGATTTGCATTAAATGTGATAAATTGAATGTGAGATTTAGGGATCAGTTTATACAAAATATGTCAACAGAATTGAAGAAAAACAAGGAGGAGAGGGGAAACCTAATGACAAGTGGTTAAACACTTGACTGCTAAAAAGATTAGCAGTATTAACCTGCCCCATATCTCTGCAGGAACAAAGACTTCTTGATTTGCCCCTGTAAAGATTATAACCTAGTGAATCCATAGAGCAGTTCTACTCTGTCCTACTAGTTTTCTGTGAGTCAAATATGATGTCACCTAACTTCAGCATGTGGAAACTTCAGCATTGGTTAGGAGTAACCAATCTTGTAGAAAGATTGTGGAAGGTCAGTGTAAGAATGGAAGACCCTCGACAAGGTGGATTGCCATGGGGACTGCAGCATTGTGGGCTAATATATATTTGAGATGGTGAAGATGGTACAAAACAGGGCAAAGTTCAGATCCACTGTTCTTATGGTCACTGAGTAGCAGTTGACTTGATGGCACTTAACAGCAACACCAAGAGTTTGACAGCCTTGGTGATGCAGTGCTTAAGTGCTCCAGTGCTAAGCAAAAGATTGCTTCTCTGAACCTACCAGCTGCTCTCTAGTGGAAAGATACTGCTGTCTGCCTCTGTATGATTTCAGCATTGGTAAACTGTGGAGCAGCTCTGCTCTGTCCTGTTTGGTTGCTATGAGCCAGAATCAGTTTGACAGCATTGGATTGCAAGCACTGTATATCAATCATATTGACACAGTGTCTTGTTACTGTTAAGTCCCGGCATCCCTCTATATAGCGTCTCCGAAATCTGCCCTATCCTGAGCCCATCTCACTGATTTTGACACACCCCGTTGCCCCAGTCACTGTATCAGTCCACCTTATCCAGGGTCTTCCTCTCCTGTGCTGTTCCTTCATTCATCCAAGCATAATGCCCTTTTCCAAGGATCGATCCCCCTTGGGCACATGCCCAAAGTATGTGAGATAGAGCTTCAGTATCCTAGCCTTCAAGGAGAAACTTGGTTTCACCCTCTCGAAGACAGACTTACTTGTTTTCTTGGCAGTCTATGATATGTTCAAGACTCTTCTTCAGCACCACAGCTTAAAGGCATCTGTTCTACTTCTGTCATCCTTAGTCATTGTCCAGCTGATGCATAGCAAGTAATTACAAAGACCATGACCTGGATTAGGTGCACCTTACACTCTAGACTGACATTGTTGCATTTCAGTACTTGGGAGAGGTCCCTAATAGAAGATTTCCTTACGTAGTTCATCTTTTGATTTCCTAACTGCTGGTGGTAAGAGTGTTGATTTTGGAGTCGAGCAGTGTCTTCTTCTTGCTACAAAGTGCTGTCTGAACACTTGTATACCTTTCATCGTTTCTCCAAGTTCATAGGGTTTCCAGAGGGAAGCTGTTTCAGAAGTGGATGCCACTCTTGCTTCCAAGCTTGTTTTACTCAGGGAGCTCCACTAAACACTGTCCACCATGGGTAACCATTATTGTATTTACACATCATTGTCACATGTTCAGCATCACAGCAACTATGAGTTACCTCTGCACAGCAATGTCTTGGCAAGAGAAACTTTAGAAGGTTAGATAATTGAGATGGCTTCTGTCTTAGTTGTTTTCTCACTCTCATTGCCTTTGAATCAGAACCAACTTATAATTGATTCTCTCTTGAGTTTCCAAGACTATAAATCAGACAGGGGAGCTTTGGTGGCCTAGCCCCTAGATAGTTATTTTGTTTACTCTGGAGAATTTAATCCACCAGCAGCTGTTAAAGAGAAAAATGACCAGTTTTCCTCTTTTGTAATTTACAACCTTGCTGAAGAGCCTATCAATTGTTCAAAATCATAGCATTGAGTTTTGTTTTGAAATCACATGAGAAAAGATTACCCATCTTGTTCCTGTGGAGTTGCATAACTTTCTACAGACTCTATCAGCAAAGCTCCCTCATTAGTTTTTAGTGTTGCTTTACTATTGTTCATTTTTGGTCCCATTCCCTAAAAAGGTGATCCAACAGGAAATTATCAGACAATATCATTAATATCTCATGCAAGCAAAATACTGCTGAAGATCATTCAAAAATGACTAGAACAAAACAAGGTAGAACAATACATAGAGAACTGACAAAAGTTCAAGCTGGATAGCTAATGTCAGATGGATCCTGGCTGAAAGCAAAGAATATCAGAAGACTGATTATTGTGCTTTATTGGCTGCATGGTGTGTATCATAAATTACCATAATAAATTATGGCTGTACATTGAGTAGAATGAGAGTCCCAGACACTTAATTGTGCTCATGCGAAACGTGTACCTAGTCCAAGAGGCTATTTTGTGAACAGAGCAATTTTTTTTTCTATATTTTATTAATTTTCATAAACATTTACAGAGATTTTGGGTTTCCATTCATTCATTGTTGCACTATTCTCTCTACCCTCCTCCCAGTTTGTTCTTGTCCAAATGCCACAGTGCTTGTCAAAGCCAGTTCTGATTAATCTTCTTTGTCAGTGTGTCCTTTGCCATTCCCTATCACTCCTCCCTGAGAGAGACTTCACCCTGAGTGATAAGGAAAAGGGGATGGCGTATTCTCTTAGCTACTTCCTGCTGAAAAGGGACGCTGTGGGTTTCAGGGTGAAGATCTTCTCTCACTACTCTAAAGGGCCCCTTTGGCAGGAGGAAACACATAGACTATTATGGAGATTGATTTTGGAATTTAGATGCACTCTTATTGATTGTGCTTGGCCGTACATGTTCATATCCTTGAAGATGTATCATGGGGGTGTTGCAACCTAGAAGACACAAATTTGACTAACAAGTTATAAGTACATGAGTCAAAAATTATGGAAAAGTAAAAGAAAAGATTCTTTCATTGTTTTACAAACCCTCCCCCAGGTGCCCTCCACCATGTAGCCCTCGCTCTAGACTCCTGTGATGACAGAAACACCTAGTTATATATCTCTTTTAAACAGTTTTCTCCCTCCTCTGTTTCAGTGCAGTATACATTATTGAACCCATCTTACTCAGTCTCTCCCCAACCCCAAGGACAGTCCCATTCTACAACAGTGGCATCATGTAATATTTGTCCTTTTGTGACTGGGATATTTCACTCAGCATAATGTTCTCCAGAGTCAACCATTTTGAATAATATTGCATGAGTTCCTTGTTTTTTAATGCAGCATAGTATTCCATTGTGCAAATATACCACAGCTTCTCTAGCCATTCGTTTGTTGATGGGCACTTAGGTTGTTTCCAACTCCTTGCTATTGTGAACAAAGCTGCAATAAACATGGGTGTGCATATATCTGCTTGGATGTCAGCTATGGTCTCTTCAGGGTATATTCCCAGTAGTGGAATTGCTGGGTCAAATGGTATCTCTATTTGCAACTTTTTGAGAAAGCGCCATACTGCTTTCCACAGGGGTTGCACCA